GTTGAACATGTTGGATTGTGTATTGTCCGAGTCAGGGGCCTTTTTATTTTACTGTAACTTTGGAAGTTGTGTTACCAATGCTTACTGTTTATTTGATACCCATTTGGTAATGCAATTAATAAAAACAACAAGGTTTGGGTTCGTTCTTCAGATGACTGTGACGTTAACGTGTAAGCTCAATAATGAACTCCAGCTCAACCAACCATATTGTAATATCTAAGTAATCATCTTGAAATATGACATTAATAATTGTAATATACATACATCTTATTGTGAGGTTGATTTCACATACACTACTTCGACATTAGCTTGTCTACATACTTGAGCATAGCCAATTTAAATTAACCTTAGATGCATACAGTTCTACCTACATAATAAAATATCTCTAAGTTACAAGGATGTAACCTTATTTTATCAACCTCAAACAGAAGCCGTTTGTTCAACAGTATTATCCCACTTAACACTTGTCTATTTCGTTGTAACCTTTATATATACAGTCTATGATTTTAACTTGGAGGCTACGATTACAATCGTTAGCACCGATGTAGCTACCACTAGCTTACATGCTAACCCAAGCCTTACCATTCATTACGTAGCTGATTAAAATCATTAACACATAAATAAAGCACTAGAATTTCACTTACCGCAAAACCGCATTCATGCACCGTCTGTTTTAACTGCAGAGCGAGTCACAATAGTCCGATATATAAGCATGAAGAACAAACAACCACGGTCGACTACAAGTTGTGTTTCCTGGATGAGCTGAGCAGGCAGAGTCCCTGTAGCTAGCTTCACGGAGCAGCTAGTAGAGAGACAAGAAGCTAACAGCGGCAGGCACTTGACAGAGCCGTCACTCAATGTGACCACGCCCTAATTTATGCACAAACTTTAAGACCTAATATAAATAAAAGGGTCGCGTTAGAAAACAATTCACTCACAGATCCATAATCATGAAGGTGGAATCTAACTATATCGATAATAAAATGTATGGAGCCAGGGGTAGAAACATGTTTTTTTCTGCTGTAAAGTTGGGCATTTTAACATGGGGGTCTATGGAAATTGCTCCTTTCTGCAGCCATCGCCTATCGGCCAATATATGAACTGCAGTGTGTGGCACTTCCGTATTGGCTTCCCGGCTCTACCCCAGTTTGCCGCTTGTTTGCAACCTGGTATTTGTAATGTCTAACCTCATTTAGAGCTGCCTCCTTGTCCCCCCTTTTTCAACTTTGGACCTCTCCTCGCAGCTTGTGTAACTGTTAACTGTGATGGTTATTCTCGCGTCCAGGAAAGAGAAGCTTAAAAAGGAGACTAAATGGAGTCTCTGAGATGTTTTCAAATTGGTACTTTAATTAATAAAAAAGGCGCGGTAAAGTCACAAACAGGATATTGTCCGACAGAAAAGCAGCTGCCTCTGGCCCTCGCTAGCAGAGAAAAGAGGCCGAACCGCCCAGGTGCTGCTGTTATATAGTTTCTGCAGGCTCCTCCCTGGGGGCCGGCTCTCCGACTATTTAATGTCCGTTGTTACACATATCACAGTATACAGACATTGTACATTCAATATATATCTAAACACTCCTTTTCTCCTCCTTAACTCTTTCATGACTTTCCATTCAACACATTCTAAACGCTGTAATCAACACTCCAAAAAATACAGGAAATCCTTCACAGCAATTCGATTTCCGGTCGCTCCGAATGTTGTGACATGCTACCCACATCTGTAAACGATAACTTACTCAAATAAACTGTACCTTCATTTAATATCCAACAATAATAATATCTCGACGTCTATAGTTGTAGTGTTGAAATCAGTAGGTTTCGGTGTGCAACATCATATCATATCGCTGCTAAATTCACCTCTATAGGAAATGGTATATTAGCCTCATGCTAAATGCTAACCGGAGGTGAAGGATTTTCAGAATAAAAGTCTAACTGGTTGTGCACAAGAACTTCTGGTTTTTCAGTATAAAACAGCATTTAAACTAAAGGTACATTTAAGGTACATTATGCCATCAAAACATTGATTTTAATTTCTAACATAACCTCTCTCCTTCTGTTCATTTAAGTGAATGTCCTGCTCTCACCTCCTCTACCATCTTCTCCATCTATCAGCCTCTGTTTCCTCGCCGGTTTTTCTCCGTCCTTTTTCTCCTCTGCTTACTTTAACCTTGTAAGTTTGCCGTCCATTGGATGGTTTATCTGCTTGTCGTCCTATTACCTGCTTACCAGTTTCTGTCCAACCTGTCCTTTATTATCTGTCTCGCCTCTTCTCTCTCCCCTTCATGTGTATTATTTGAACTAAGCCTGTCTTTTTCAAGCCTTTCATCAGTTCCACCTCTTCTCTTCTCATTTGATCCTCCTTCTTTACTTTCCTTTTCTTTAATGTTCACTCCGATCCCTCTCTCATCCTCCTGTCTGACCTCTTGTCTCTGCCTCATTCCAATGTCCGACAGCTGGCCAGTCTTCATGAATTATAGAAGAGATACAGCTGACCTAAGTCTTTGTATCTGTTTTGCCCTCTATTCATCTTATTTTCCTATCTTTTTGGGCTTTTAAACATAATAGTTCTTACAAAATGCAACATGGAACTTTGTTTTCCTCAACCATAAAGCTAAACTCTTACTCGAAAAGCACAGTTTGAAGAGTAGCGACCTCTTTAATTGTATTAAAGCTGCGATAATAGATTTCTTACAGTGCAGAAATTGTATATCAAATCACCAACATTTGCAAAGTAACACACATGTAGTAATTCAGAGGCCAAACATCTTGCACATCACCATGTATACAGACCCCTCTGGGAAATGTATCTCTCTTAAAATGTTTTGAGTGCAAAATTGTTTGAAAACAGTCCAAGACCATTTTGTTATATTACAGTTAGCAGTTTCATCATGTGAATCTTATGTATTGTCGGAGCACATTTTCTTTAAAAGCCTGATTCAAAAGGTACAGACTATGAGATACAATCACACACTTACAAAAATAACTAGAATGAAAAGTGCTTTGAGACTTGGGTAACAAAAATCCTCTTAGGCTGAAAAGCTCACTAATGTTATACTTAACTGCACATCCATGTTGCTAAAACACATATCTATGGAGGTCATTAGGGTGGGATGCATTGTTTTTTTTCCGACAATAATATAAAGTGCACTATATTCGCTATCCAACCTCAAAATACCCTCAAACTTTTTGTTCTCTGGTTCTTGCATTCATGTCTCATATATGTCATTACTGTGAGTCTCACTACATGCATGTGTATGTAACCACACTAACTGATAAAGACCACTCGCTGAGAGATAACACTCTGCTCTACTGTAGTCTATTTGATACTAAACAGTTAGATTGCCTTCGGGGCGGGCAGAGCTTCATCCCATCTGACGTTCTTTATATTCATTTTTTCTTATTCTCTTGAGTGGTCCTTTTTTGTTTGATAACCTTCCCGACTGTATTAACAGAGACTGAACTCACTGTCTTCAGTAATAATCCCTCAATAAGGGCCTTTAACAAGCTCTCCTAATATTTATTTTTATCAATCCTCATATGTTGTGTCTGCCCTTTTCCTTATCAGTGCTCCTCCCTCCCTTACGGTCTCTCTATCTACTCAGTATACCTGTGGCATTATTAAAGGGCAGTTAGAGTGGCTCTTGTTGCTCTAGGGAAGATGGTAGAACATTGACTTCCATGCAGTTTCTTACATCATTTCCTTTTTCATCTCAGTGCACTATTACCCTCACATTTTTCAAAGTTTTCTTTATTACCCCCATGGTTGCTGTTAGTAACTAAATGTGAGAGCAGTTAAAGCTGATGTAAGTTTTACCATAGGCAACCAACTCATCGTCTCGGTGATGATGCTTAAACAAGTGTTTTTGAAGATGTGAACTTTGCTTACTTTCTACCACTATTATGATTATTACCATCGGCTTTCACTTCTTCCACTTTACTACTCCATTCCTCTCCTCTCATCTTATATCCTCGCTTCTCGGTGTTTTAGTGCACTTTAACATGTAAGCTGTCTCAAGAAACTATTGTAAATAATTCACGTGGGAGTTACACTGCACCCAGGACAAGTGCTGTGCTCCACTTCTGGTCAGTGGTGTGATTATGGGTAGGGATAATATCACTCATTCAATTCCCTCGTCCACATATTTCAAGCCAGTGGAACAAATTGTCTTTCAGCTAAAATCTTCTTAAATTGCTGCCAGCCTTTGCACCTCAGAGGATAATGCAAAGTGACATTATAATCACACTTTAAACTCTCGGAAAGTTCTGATTTAAATAGGGATGTTTTTTTGTTTTTGTCGATTTTTTTACAGGCTCTCAGAGAAGGTCATTTAGATCGTGCAGTTATTTACATTTTCAAGTTCTTTGTTTTGTATGCTACACCGTCTTTTGTTTGTCGAGTAATTTCACAACAGAAATTGGTCATGCTGCCGTCTGTAATTACATTGCCACATTTTGGTGACTTTCCCCTAAAAACAGCATTTTTGTTAGAAAGGTTTTACCTACCTCAAATTGAAATATGTAGGCTTGTCTTCCATGAGCACACCCATAACCTGAGTGCATGTACCGCAACAGAGAGCCATTACATACATGTCAATCTCTTGAAGAAGACATAATCTCTCTGTAAGCGTGATGCTCACCATCAATGTGTACCCTACAGAAATTATGTGCACATAAACAAAACAATAACAATAATTCAACTAACAGTGTATTCGTTGGAGCGGGCCTCTGTGTGATAGTGGTGAATGCTGTGGGTCTGCAACAACCACAGCTTAAATGTTGCTAAATCTTCCCTTTCCTATTGGCCTGGTCGGTTTCTATTGTATTTTATTTACAATTACATCAATGTGCAACTCATCTCTAATTTAGAAAGGCTGACAAAGTCCTGATCGTTACAAGATGTGAAAATCATTAGGTATGTTTTGTTTTGCATTTGTCTATGCCTGTGTTCTTCTACTACTTTGTTTGTATTTTTTATAGATTATTTGGTATTTGCTTACTTCCAGGCTGACTGGTACAACCCTGCCATCACCAGTGATCTCGAATAAGAACTGGCTTCGGATACATTTCACCTCAGATAGCAACCATCGAAGGAAAGGATTCAGTGCACAATACCAAGGTACTTTCAGTCTCTTCTATTCTCTGCCTCCATTTTATGCCTACATGCATGTTAGACACTAGCACTGTACTTACAATACATACCTACAAACCCGTAACAACAAAAGATAGTACTGGACATATATAGTACATTTATTGCAGAATATTTATATTAACTGTAATTGAGGAAGCCAATTATTAAGGACAGAAGTCTGAAACCACCTGAGTGGACTTCCTGGACCTTTCTGTCATCTAATTGACTGGTCGTATTACTTAATTAGCATATTAAGGTGCATATTAGTTTCCACGTGGCGGCTCAGATTTAATTGGCTACTTCCTTCCCAAAACAGGATGACCCAAGACCTGTATATCTTGCTGTGCGCCTCCAGCTCTTCTTCACTTTATGCTGCTTCTTTCTTCCACAGTGGTCGCTCTCATGCTCTTGTCTTGGTACTCCTGTCGTTTCCTTTCTGTCTGTCTCTCTGTGTCTTCTGTATGTATGTGTGTGTCTGTGTGTATGTGAGGTCTGTTTCTCGTGGAATGACGTTTGGTTTCAACACAGACTTTTCTGTTATTCCCTGCAATGATGCTACTTAGGATGAAATAGATGGAATTCATTTCCATGCTGCTCCACTGCTTTGTTTTTTCCCTATTTTCTTCTCTCTTGTCTTGTCTTTTCTGTGTCTTTTAATGTGTCCTTTCTTTTTTCCTTGTTCTAATTTTCAATTCCTGCCACTGTTGCACTGTTGTAGGTTTGTTATTAGAAGAGCTGGAAGCACTTTCTGAATTGCATGCATAGCTGATGTGTACTAAATGGCAATGCTTAAAAGATATACAGTAATTTAAGTTTAATAAAGCATTATTCATAATTAAATTAATTAACTCCCTTTCCTTTCCACTATGCAGTGAAGAAAGCAATAGAGTTGAAGTCCAGAGGGGTGAAGATGATGCCCAGTAAAGACTCCAGTCACAAAAATGCCGTCTGTAAGTAAACTGTTGTCTGTTGTGTTGTTGTTGTTGTTTTTGCAGTGTGACTCTACGCCATGTTGAAAAACCTTTTTAAACTAATGTTAAACACATTTGGTGTGATGTGGCAAGAGCAACAACGTTCAAAATAAAAACCAAAATCCATAAATATTTGTGCTTACAGAAGTCAAATGTATTCATAGAAGTGAATATGTTTTTAAAATACACCTAGTATTTGTAAAGACATGTTATGTTATGCTACGGGAACAATCAATTTTTTCAGTTCAATACAAACCAACCAATGAAATCTAAACATCCTTATTACAAATACTTGTCACTAATAAACTGAAATACCGTAGCATTTTGTCGCTGTTATTTTGGTTGGAAAACGTTTCAAGTCTTCTTTTGCCACACACAGTAAACCTCCCTCAGCTGGTGTCACAAGAATAATCTGCTACAGTCCATAATAAACTCAATGTAGCATAATGGCTCAATTTCTGCTGGCGTAGCTATTGCTTTCCAATGGACAAGTTCTTGTATATCCATTTCTGCTTTCTATTTCAATCTAACTTTCTAAATTTCAAGTAGAGTCTGGTGGTTTTGCGTTCTTCACGACAAAGCTGGAAATGTGCCCACTGCATCTTTTTGTTCCCTCTGAAAGTGCAGCCAAGAATCCTGCAAAGTGACAGTGTATTCTCCCTCAGGTGAAGTCATTATGTAATGGGTACATTTTGTATTGTAAGCCAGAAGAGAAATAGTACAGTCCTATATTGGACATTAATGAGGGCTAGTATATGGAGGATAAGTACAAAAATACAAAAAAAGTCCATTTAGTTTCTGTCTGCTACATTATTTTTCACTCGGCTCTCCTCTCTCCCCTACTGTTCATGTGCAAGCTCTTTGCTTGCATAATACCCTGCATGTCATTTAAAAAGGATTTAAGTAGATGTTGTTGTGCCTTTCACATCGCTGTTTTTGACATGATGAAAGCCTTTAATTTTTTTATTATTCCAAGAGCACAAAGCATGACTACATGTCAAAGATAATTATTATATTATTTTGCATTTTGAGGCTGTAATTTAGATGCTTTAAATTATTAAATTGATTTCCCATTTGTTGTGATGAACAGGATTGACTTTGTTCTCATATCTCAGGCAAGTTGCCATGTGTGGATTTTATCACATACAAACCCCATGTTTTCCCAAGGAACTGACTGTAAGCTTCCTGGGTTTATTAGAGGAATACAATGGAAACAAAACAAAATGTTCCCCTTTAAACTGTGGGGTTTTTCCTTGTTTGGAAGTTTTTCCTTGTACGATGTGAGGATCTAAGGACAGAGGGTGTCGTATTGTCATACTGATATTCTGTACAAACTGTGAAGTCCACTGAGACAAATGTAACATTTGTGATATTGGGCTATATAAATAAACATTGATTGATGATTGAAAACAAAAGCAAAGCTTTGTCAGAGAAGGTCACATTGTAATGCTGGCATCTATTTTTGAGAGTAGGTGACCATTTTTGCAGTTTATTTTGGTATTTACAGTAGGCCAATAAAATATACCTCTAGTTTCTATGTTAGGCATTTACTTATTTGCTCAAGTTAAGCTTCATGATATCTTAACATCAGAAGAACCACCTTCACTAGTGTTTGTAGAGAGGATTACATATTGGTTGTTATTTAATAAATCACATTAAAAAGACAGATAAAAACCAACTAACTCTTCTGTGCTTGTAGTGTTTAAATGGGTGTTAGATGCGTTAGCTCAGTTGCAGCTAATAGGATTTCTAATAAACTTCTATATTATGTTGACCACAAGGCAGAAAAACAATGAATTTTAATGATTGATGCAATGAATATTTCTACAAATGGCAGACATATTTGTTAGCAGCTTGAGATGCCTCTGAAACTGTATTCAGATCATGTGACCGAGGCTTTTAATCGTCACATAAGCTCAAGCTCATACCTCATCCATTCCTTAGGGTTTAGCTCCATAATAAGACCCTCATCAATAATTCTACTGATTTACACGCTCAGCCAAGCATGTGCTGGTGCAATTACCATGGTGTTTTTGTGTCTGTATGTGAAGAAGCAATCGTATGTGCTTGTGTGATTTTTCATGTGTTGTAGCAATTAAGATTACACTTCTTGCTATGTGTGTGTGTGTGTGTGTGTGTGTGTGTGTGTGTGTGTGTGTGTGTGTGTGTGTGTGTGTGTGTGTGTGTGTGTGTGTGTGTGTGTGTGTGTGTGTGTGTGTGTGTGTGTGTGTGAAGAGCTCCCTGGGCAAATCAATTTGTTGTTTTTATCACTGATGTGGGGCTCAGAAGAGTTTGGATCTCACACAATCTACTGTAGATTACAAAAAAAATAACAAGCATGCACAGATATAGACATATATGCAAACACACTCGCACACATGTTTTCGTGTGAGAGAATTGCCCAAAGTCATTCTGCTTAGTCAAACGTTTTTGCATTTGCTTGTTACAAGAAGAGCCAAGTAACAAAAAAAGATCCTGTTGCGAAGTATGTCTCTTTTCATGGTCTCTGGAGCTTTCTCCCACGCTGACATTATTTTATTTATGTTTCGTAAATACATATTAACTTGAAACACAAGCTAACTACAGGCAGTAAATCTCACCTGTAAAAAGTCAGTAAGTGTGGTCCAGATTCCGTTGCACATAATCCTGTGTGGGTTTCATAACAATGTAAAACCACAGTGATCACCAGTGGTTCTGTATGTGCTTCAAGACTCTCAAAAGTAAGCTTTCCCCCTTTTAAAATGATTGCTACCCTGCAGAGAACAATGTTTAATCACAATTTGGAGCCAAAGAATAATGATAATGACTATTATCGGTGTAATTCTGGGCTCCCTTAAGCTTTTTGGAGGCCTATCCGTTTAGTTTCTCACCATGGGATGATGCTCATTAAAACATACAAGCCTTTTTTATAATGGGGACCTAAACTGAGTAAATGTGGGTTTACACATTCAGTCGAAGGCTTAGATAGGTCACTATAATGTTGTTCAATAAGTTCATCAATCTGGGATCATAGATCATTAATACAGTTTTAAAAAACTAAAGCTAGGGTCCACTTTGGGTCCCGAGCCTGTCTTTGAACAACACTCTATGTATCCCACTAGTGACATTAGAGTGGTATGGCAAATAATGATGCATTATATAACCATTACACAGAACCAGAGACTGATGATAATGACTTTTACCTGTCTAGAGAATGGAGTGCTTATGAATCATAATCTAAAAGACTTTCTGAAGCAGCCTCTAGCCTATATTAAAGCACAGTGTAATAGACAGACACACATGAGAGTACATTTAAATCAGTTTGAGAGTGATACGTTTATGAATAATCCTCACACTGACTATTGATTAGAACCTTAAGTCATACTAGATAGATGGAAAATGGATGGATAGATAGTTAGATAGAATGTAAAATAGTTCAACTTAAATCAGCCCATCTTGCATTTGCAGTTGCCCTCTCTCAGCGGTAACATTAGCTTACTGCTGAGGATGTGTCATAATTATAGAGAAGCTGAGAGATTGTGATTAAGGACTTGTACTCCCTAGACAACGACCTAGAAGTGTAATGAATCATTATTGTGAGAGTGTGATTTGTAATCAGTGTTTTCATCAGGAATACCTCACGCTAATGCAGCGTGTTGCCATAAGAATATTCTTTTATGCTGTGTTTTATGACTCAGCATCATAACAGGCACATTTATGTAGAAAAATTGAATGGGCTAAACAAAATATTGGCGGGAAGATGGCTGCAGACTTCAGCTCTCAGCTTGATGACCTTTGAGCACAGGAAGGTGGAGGAGAGAGAGAGGGCAGAGTGGATAAGAGGCAACAAGAAGAGCAAGGGGAGCAGCAGAAGAGAGCATATTAACAAACTGCACTTCACACATTTCTCGCCCCATCCAGCAGGCATCTGAAGAGCACATCAAAGGCCCTTACCTGAAATACATGTCAGCTGATCACACACACGTACTGTACACACACAAACCAACAGACTCTCCCACGCTCTCTTTCCTCTTGCATCCTCTGTCATTGACTCTTTGACCAAGGATCCTTTTAATGGTTCATCTGTCGGCTCTTTTAATAGAGTAAATAAACTAGTACGCTTTACGGCTTTGCATCCTGAATGCAAATATATCTTTTGTTGTTTATCCGTCTTTACGTTGCACTCCAAGCCAGTGTTTTCTGTTTTTTGTGTCCAACTCCCCAAGCCAGTGGTTTGTGACTCTTTCCACTGGAAAGAAAACTAGCACCAGAAAAGTTATTATATGTTTTGTACAACCTTTGTGTACATATCTTAGTGTGTCTTGTTTCATTCGCCCCGTTTCTAAGAGCGTTTTTGGTCTGAACTCTCCCTCTACTTTAACGTAAAAGAGTTGCTAGTGCCGCCTAACCTGCTTAGTATCGACGACAGATTCTACACCTCTGCAACAGACTGATTTAGGAATGGACACAAAGGTCATTGATAAATACTACTTTCAAACATCTAATGCGACACACTTTGGTTGTAGTTTAAGCTTATCATTTAGATCCTTAATTTTTTATAGAAACGTTCTGAAAAGATGTATAACATGATTTCACCTTAATCTGACGAAACCTTATGTGATACCTTCTGTTATTTTTTTAAATGATAAAAATAAGTGATCAGAAAACATTCATCTGCTATCCTTGTATTTATAAAAGACATTTTATTTTTCAACGATGGATAGGTTTCCTTTTGGTAAACAACTTCCGTGACACACCTTCCCAAGTATTTGTGATAGCTAGAACTAACAGTTGATGTATTACTATTGTAATACTGGCTTGTCAGTGGATAGAAAAAATGTATCTGTAACCTACAGTATGCAATATATACTTAATAAACACCTTTCATAGAGAAACCGACATTTGAATATGAACAAATAAGCAACAGCTTTCAAATACATTGTGTGGAACTAATAGTATAGCATATCCTTCAAAACTGTAATGGTGAAAAGGTATAAAGT